GGGGGGGGCTAAAACTTGATGAACCATTCAGAAATAGGGAATTTTTGAAAAACCGTTCAGTTAAGATTTGAGATGAACACTGAACAGTTCAGATTTGGGATTTTTGCGGATTCAGATCCAGGAAGCCAAAATGTTTCGGATCCAACGGATCCGGATCCCAAGCACTGGTCGGGCCAAGGTTTTTTTGTATTGAAATAAAAATACTTTCAATACCAATTTTTTAAAAAATTGAAAAGGAAGAGAAGCAGAAAAAAAGAAAAAGTACTTACAAATTTCATATTTAAAACAAAATAATATTTATAACATATTTCGGACTTTTAATATTTTACCTAATACCTAATAAACTAAAAAGAACTTAATAATGAATTGTGAATGAAAAGTGGATTTAGCAGTCGGCCAGCTGTAGTAAAGATGAATAACATTTATAGAACATGAGTTGGAATACTTACAAACGAGTAATGACATCATGTAATATCATCAAAAATAGTCCAATCAGTGTAATAACATGACTATTGCTAGTCAGGCCAATAGTTTCAAATGAGCAGGATACCATGTACTAATTAATGTAATGTAATATCGTTAAAAATAGTCCAATCAGTGTAATAACATGACTATTGCTAGTCAGGCCAATATGCTCAAATGAGCAGGATACCATGTACTAATTAATGTAATACCACGACTAATGCGGGTGATTATAGTAATTAATTAGTCTGACAAATGTAATATCATTAAAAATAGTCCAATCAGTGTAATAGCATGACTATTACTAGTCAGGCCAATATTTTCAAATGAGCAGGATACCATGTACTAATTAATGTAATGCCATGACTAATGCGGGTGAGTATATTAATTAATTAGTCTGACAAATGTAATATCATTAAAAATGGTCCAATCATTGTAATAACATGACTATTGTTAGTCAGGCCAATATTTTCAAATTAGCAGGATACCATGTACTAATTAATGTAATGCCATGACTAATGCGAGTGATTATAGTAATTAATTAGTCTGAATATTTTTAGTCCGGTAATGACTTAAGAAATAAAGAATATCAGTATATCAGGCCAGGTATTTATATGAGCCGGATACCGTGAATTAAGTAATGACATAGGCAATGCCATGAATAGTGAGTAGTAAGTAGGGACATAGGTAATGCCATCATTAAAGAGGGGGATTAGAATAATTAATTAGTCAGACCAGTAATGACTACAGGAAAAAGGATTACCTTTATATCAAGCCATTAATTAAATGAACCGGATACCTGGTATTAAATAATGACACATAAAATGCCATGATTAATGATTAATTTAGAGTACGTAATTAGTCTTACAAATGTTACTCCAGAAATGACTTCAAAAATAAATTAGAGTACGTAATTAGTCTTACAAATTTTACTCCATAAATGACTCCAGAAATAAAGAGTAATGCTTAAATTAGAGTACGTAATTAGTCTTACAATTGTTACACCATAAATGACTTCAAAAATAAATTAGAATACGTAATTAGTCTTACAAAATTTACTCCAGAAATAAAGAGTACCCACGCATAAAAAGTGTGGAATATGATGTATATGTATATGAGAGCATTATTCGTACCAGAATATGGATGATATCGGAGAATTGGTAATAAGGTATATTAGTCATGGAGGAACAAATCGGTATTTAATAAGGAGGGAACAAAGACGACCCACTCAAAATGACAAAACAAAATAATATTGGGTGCAGCATCCACGAAACCAATACGCACGCAGCAGAATAGAGGGAGGTGGTTGAACAAACTTTATTAAAACATGCAAATCTATAAACTTAGGTACATAATTCGTAGGGTGGAATCGGAAAAATCGAATTGAATGATTCGGCCAAAAGTCAGATGAAATAAGGATAAACCAAACATTCTCTTAAAATTCAGGCTATAGATACAAGCCTCTGTAGTTGGGGCTTCACGGCTTCGGCTACTTCCACTCGGGCATAACAGTATCATTGCACATGTCATGCTAACTCTGTAACCCAAGTACTCCTAAGGGAGGCGGAGGGTTGCCGGGAGGGGTGGTTTCCTGGTAACATTTGTGTTATTGGGATGTCCTAATAGATAGATAGAATATTTTATATCATAATCTATCTATCCATGAATATATCTACTATTTATCTATCTATCTACATATTTAGACTACTCTGCAGCTCCCTGGTGGATTACTGCTTAGGGTTTGGGTTAATCAGCTGATGAAGTTGAATATACTGCTCTATCTATCTATTTAGACTGGTCTACTGCTCCGGGTTTGGTTTAATCAGCTGATGAAGTGGAATATACTGCTCTATCTATCTATTTATCTATCTATTAAGACTGGTCTACAGCTCCCTGGTGGATTACTGCTCCGGGTTTGATGTAATCAGCTGATGAAGTTGAATATACTGCTCTATCTATCTATCTAGACTGGTCTACAGCTCCCTGGTGATTGCTGCTCGGGGTTTGGTTTAGTCAGTTGATGATGTTAAATATACTGCTATATCTATCTGCAGCTTCCTGGTGGATTACTGCTCTGGGTTTGGATTAATCAGCTGATAACGCTAAATTTGCTGCTCTATCTATTTAGACTGGTCTACAGCTCCCTGGTGGATTACTGCTCGGATTTGGTTTAATCAGCTGATGAAGTTGAATATTCTGCTCTATCTATCTATCTATCTATCTATTTAGACTGGTCTACAGCTCCCTGGTGGATTACTGCTCCGGGTTTGGTTTAATCAGCTAATGAAGTTGAATATACTGCTCTGTTTAGACCAAGAGGATGTTATAGTCAAGGAAAAGACAAAATAATTTATCACTCAAATAGGTTTTTAAAAGGTTTTAATTTTCTTGAAAAATTATTTTTTATCCCAAATGAAAGGTACAAGTAGTAATGAATCCTGAGCAAAAACTGTTAAAGGGCCGGAATGATTTGTAACTGGTTTTCTTGTCAGATCAATCTATTTTTGAAACCCAGCGATGTATGAGAGGTTAATCTTACCGCAAACAGATAATAAGTTTAGAGAATATCGTGAATTATAAGGGTTTCAGCTTTGATCATAAAAAATTTAATGATTTAACTATTCGTCCTTCTTCCTATATTCTTAACAACTATATCGACCTATAAACAATTATAGCTTTTAACTGTTGTTCTGAGAGCAGCCATATGTTTGTAATCATTCTTAAATTTGACTGATGTTTCTTTTTAATTATTGCCGGAATTTTTTTCCGGGAAAAATTAGTCAACCTTCCCTTGGGTCATTTCAGTTGCCATAAAAAATTTGGGCCTGCTTGGTTCAACAGTTTTGACGTTTATTGGATACAAACAAACAAACTGACAGCCAAGCAAAGCTTACATATATATATTAATTTACGCAAGACATTTCACATTACACATTATACAACCAGACAATTACTAACTAATGATGATCTTGAAAAATGTGACAATTGATATTATTTTGTATTTGATTTGAAGGGATTGGAGACAATAAAATCATCGCCTATTGATAGGTAACTATATTACTCGATATTGAATAATGTCATGTACATCTTTAAATATTTTACTAAGGTTATAAAGGTTTCTTTTTTAATGGAAAATATAAATTGGTCATTTCAAATTTTTTCAGAAGTGGCAGATTAGGGGGGGGGGGCAGAATAACTATGAATCGACAGGGCCTATAAATTAGTAAAATATAAGTTGGAGAGCATTTAAAAAAAAGATATTTTTGTCACTTATTTTTCCTTGAAATTATGTTGACAACTCTAAGGTGTCGTTTATTTAACTGAATTTTAAAGTTGAATAAAAATAATTTTGATATTAATAATTTTGTAGATTTCTCGGTATTATGAATATTCCTGTTATAATGGTGAAAACATTCTATAAACACTTATCAATATATATCAGGTAATTTATTTATATAATAAAGCTCTTTGCTCATATATAAATATTTGTATATTTATATGAAAGTTAGCTGGACCAAATTTGCAATGGCCTTTCAAAATTCAACTTTTTCTTCAAAATTTGAAAGTTTGTTTTTATTCCACGGGCAACGCCGGGCACATCAGCAATGTAAATATTTTATTATTAAATCATATTGACTAAAACTACTAAAATAATTTAAGATTTGTCCTAAAATAGACAGTTAGGACTAGGTTTTCCTTCTTATAATCCTAAGGTGGAAATTACTATTCAGGGCTTGTATTTGACATTTAAAGTAGTAATCTCTGTTTGTATGTTTGAATGTCCGTGTATAATCCAAAAACCCATGGTCTGATTTGTCTAAAATATTGTTTGAGGAAAACTCCAGGCAAAGCTTGGTTCCCAAGCTAGTATATACGTGTTATTCTGGTTTAAAACTCCAGGCAAATCTGGGTTCCCAAGCTAGTATATACGTTTTATTCTGGCTTAAAACTCCAGGCAAAGCTTGGTTCCCAAGCTAGTGTATACGTTTTATTCTGGTTTAAAACTCCAGGCAAAGCTTGGTTCCCAAGCTAGTGTATACGTTTTATTCTGGTTTAAAACTCCAGGCAAAGCTTGGTTCCCAAGCTAGTGTTACGTTTTATTCTGGTTTAAAACTCCAGGCAAAGCTTGGTTCCCAAGCTAGTGTACGTTTTATTCTGGTTTAAAACTCCAGGCAAATCTGGGTTTCCAGGTTATATATCAAGATCCTCTATATTTATATAAGATTAGATTAGTTGTCCTACTTCAAGTCCTAAACTAAAAATATTCCGGACTATGCTGGAGCAAAGAGGGAAAGAAGTTGGTGCACTAGCCGTCCTACTTCTAGTCCTAAACTATATATATTTAGGACTATACTGGAGAAAAGAGGGAAAGAAGTTGGTGTACTAGCCGTCCTACTTCTAGTCCGAAACTATATATATTTAGGACTATGCTGTAGGAAAGAGTGAAAGAAATTGGTGCAATACCCGTCCTACTTCTAGTCCTAAACTTATATATTTAGGACTAAATTGGAGAAACGGGGAAAAGAAGTTGGGGCACTAGCCGTCCTACTACTAGTCCTAAACTATATATATTTAGGACTAAATTGGAGAAACGTGGAAAAACAGTTGGTGAACTAGCCATTCTACTTCTAGTCCTAAACTATATATATTTAGGACTATTCTGGAGAAACGGGGAAAAGAAGTTGGTGCACTAGCCGTTCTATTTCTAGTCCTGGCTGTTTCAAACCTCTCCGTCTTTAATTCTGTTCATATAGCCACCTGATTTCAAGAATATTAAGATTTTTAACTTTAAAAAGGCTGAAAAAATCTGTTAAGCACAGCAATTTGTTATCACCTGTGCTTTTAATCAAGACCATGACACGTTACATACATAGACAGATACATATACAATTGTCATAAATTTTATCTTGATTTTATACATAATAATTTATATGTCATAGAACTCGTATGATTTTAAACAATTTTATATTTTATTTATTTAAATTTAGTGAAATAATTGCAACTTTTTTATTGTGAAACTGAAATCATTTCAAATGTGCCTTATCTCAGATATTTTAAGTATTAAGCTCGATTATATTTAGCAAATCTCATACTAAAGTATTATTAAACATTTAATGGAACAGTCTCAACCATCCAGGGCTGGAGGTAGAAACTTTGAAATTCTTATTTCTAACAGAAATTACTAATCGGATTTATTAACGCCAGAGCTAAAAACTGTAAAATGGTGGATATCGAGATTAACGCTTGATCTCCTGTTTTTCTAAATATTCAGATTAAATAATGCTTGTTCTCCTCTTGATATTAATCTCCAGATTAATTAACCGATTGGGTTTAAGGATATCCCATTCTAAAGTTTTCAGCTCTGTTTATATACTCCATAAAGGTAAAACCACCAGAGACCACAGCAAGTTTTCTAATGAGAGTTCAGCTGTTTAATTACGGATTAAACACAGATCGCTTTTAATTCGGTTTTAACTAAAAGTTTTGACTCCAGGTTTTTTTTGTGAACTCAGTAATTGCTTAAAGTAACACAATTTGATATTTTAGATATATCTAAGAAATAAAAATGAGCTATTTTAGACCAAAAATAAAGTTTTTTTATGCACACAAAAATCTTACCATTTCATTACCAAAACGTTAAATATTTAGTTTTCTAAATACAATCCACTTTTCCTGTAAACAAATAGTCAATTCACTATAGAAGTTGATTTTCAACTGGTTATAAACTAACCCCCATGAAAGCCTTAAAAATTCAAAAGTATTTTTTTATTGAATTTGAATCTACCAATGTCAGTTTTTAAAATAATTAAAAGTTACATGTAATCATATTTGAAGAAATGTATCGTTTTCATTTATTGGAAATTATAATGAAATTCTAAAAATTAAATATCCTTTTTTTATGAATTTTAATTTTGAGACAAAATCAGCGACTTAATTTATACTATTTGACGAATAAGAATTCTTTTAATTTTTATCATTTTACAGTTCCTCAATTTTTATAATTTTATAATACAGTAAATAAAAATCTATCTTGAAAGCTAAATTTATATATTTTTTAATGTTTAATCTGTTCATTTTATAATACATCATATTTTATCATTAATGACTCTAAATTTATATTATATAAGTAGTTTATATATCTGAATAAATTATGTTTAACAAATTAACTATCTAATTATCGTTCGCTAGCTAATTTCTGTTTTTTTTTCTTCATTTTTTTTTAAAATCTTCTAATACTGAATTTACTACAATTTTATCAGTTTTCATTTCAAATCTCTTCTCTAACTTGTATATCTTTCTAATAGTTTTATCCTTCAATCTCTTTTTTCTTAATCTTCCATTCTTTTTTATAATTTCTCATAATCTTTATCTTTCAATCTCTATGTTCTTAATCTTCTTTCCTTTTCTATATATTTTCTCATAATCTCTTTCCTTTAATCTCTTTGTTCTTAATCTTCCCTTTTTTATATATATTCTCTCATAATTTTTATCCTTCAATCTTCTTTGTCCTTTCATATATATTTTCTCTTAATCTTTTTCCTTCAATCTCTTTTTTCTTTATCATTTCTTTTATATATTTTCTCTCATAATCTTTTTCATTCAATCTTTTTTTCTTAATCTTCTATCCTTTTATATATTTTGTCTCAATTTTTTTTCTTCAATATCTTTTTACTTAATCTTCCATTCTTATGCATATTTTCTCGTAATCTTTTTAATTCAATCTCTTTTATCTTAATCTTATATCCTTTTATATATATTTTCTCTTAATCTTTTTAATTCAATCTCTTTGTTCATAATCTTTCATTCTTTTGCATATTTTGTCATAATCTTTTTCATCCAATCTCTTTTATCTTAATCTTCCATCCTTTTCCATATATTTTCTCATAATCTCTTTCCTTTAATCTCTTTGTTCTTAATCTTCTATCTATTTATATACATTTTCTCTTAATCTTTTCCTTCAATCTCTTTGTGCTTAATCTTCTATCCTTTTATATATAGTTCTCATAATCTTTTTCCTTCAATCTCTTTTTTCTTAATCTACCATTCTTTTATATATTTTCTCATAGTCTTTTTCTTCCATCTCTTTTTTCTTAATCTTCCCTTCTTTTATATATTTTCTCATAATCTTTTTCCTTCAATCTCTTTTTTCTTAATCTTCCATTCTTTTATATATTTTCTCATGAATCTTTTTCATTCAATCTCTTTTTTCTTAATCTTCCCTTCTTTTATATATTTTCTCTCATAATTTTTATCCTTAAATCATTTTTTTCTTAATCTTTTCTTTTATATATTTTCTCTCATAATCTTTTTCATTCAATTTATTTTTTCTTAATCTTCTATCCTTATTTTGTCTCAATCTTTTTTCTTCAATCTCTTTTTTCTTAATCTACTATTCTTTTATATATATTTTCTAAAAGCAAATCTGCAAAACTTTGAAAAAATATTGTCTTCGTTTATATTATAATTTCCAGAGGAACAACTAGCACTTTTGCTAGGGGCGGGGGGGGAGTGGCAAAATATCTTGGATGTAGAGGGCGGGGCTTGCCACCCCTTTTGAAATTTTTTTTCAAAATAAAAGTTCTTTTTTAAGGGTTTGACGTCGAAAAAAGGAAATTTTAAGTTGTTGTATGCAGATTTGGCTGTGTTCAATTAAAATCTTTTTCTCTTTCTTTTCTTGTGTTTTTAAAAACATTTATACTTTCAACAGCTGTAAAATTAACGATATGAGTCAGTCAATTCTTTTCATGTGTGCGCGGAGCGCCAAAGAAAAATTGTTAAGTAACTTGTTTAATTACAGATATAATTACAAGAAATAATCAGTTATATTATTATATTATCAAAATACATATATAATTTTATTCATCTACATTAAAAAAAGGACAGATAATGTTACGTTTTCTCCTGAAGTTATTGAATATATGATTAATCATTCTAACCAACATTCATCATCTTATTTCATTTTCGATTTTATAGAAGTTCGTTTAAAAAAGATAAACAGGTTACCAAATATGATAATCAATTAGAAGTGTGCCAGAATGTTCTCTAGATTTTTGCCACAAACTCAAATATTCTAATCCCTAAATCTTTGCACCGAGTGGTGTAAACCTTTGATATTTCAAACAGAATATTTTACCAAAATAATTCGAAGTTTGAAATATCTGCACATTTGAATTATTTTCGTGCAAATTTTAAAGATATTCAATTTTAAAATCAACCTTTTTTAAAAAAAATTCTAGGGGCCTCAGGATTCTAGGGGGGGGGGGTAAATAACCCCAATAACCCCCCTTATTTACGCCACTGATTTATGGTTTCAATATATAGTAAACATTTTCTCTTTGTGTACATTGTAAAACAAAACGAAAGACTTTTGCATATTTTCCAATTTAATGAAAATCGAATAATGTTTTGCTGGAGGCTATTTTTTGGAATTTTGAACATCTATAAACCTTCCCTGGGGTCACTTTCACGTAGGGTTTTCAATCGGAATTCCGTTGAGCGCAATTGCGCGGAATGGCGCGCAATGGTTGCTTCCGCTTGCGCCACTTCATTGCGCGCAATTGCGCTATAATTGCGAAAAAGGAAGCAATTAAATATTCGCGGAATTGCGTGGAATTGCGCGGAATTGCGTGGAATTGCGCGGAATTGCGTACATTGGAATTGGTTTCATATCTAAAAATCAATAATTTTAAATGTAATACTTACAAAATGCAGCAGATACAAGAATGGAATTAAATATCTCTGTTGATTTGAAAATAATCGAGGCCCGAGTGTCACTTGTTTCAGTAGTTTTCAAATTTTAAAGTTTCTTGTGGTTAAGCTACTAATTAACAATTTAATATGATACATTTTTCATTTGTTCACATTGGATAAACATTAAATTGGAAACTTTTTTTTGTTAAAATTGTAAGGTTCGTTTAATCAAAATTAGAAATTTTGCTACAGTGAGAACCAGAAAACTATGATACAGAAAGACAGCATCACAGTGTAAATTTAATATTATAGTTCAAGTCGGACAAACTTAATTAGTAACTTATCCAGTTACATGGGTTTTCTTAAGTCTAAACTGACGTCTTCCTATGCCAGATTTTTCTCGTTATCATGCTGCAAATGACTATTATAAAACAAAATATTAAGTTTACATTCAATTGAGACTGAAATGTTAGTGAAGTTCAGTTTAGTGTATGCCACTACCAAAGTTTAAATTGAATATTTTGTTGTTGAAAGGAATTGCGCAATAATTAATTGCATTTATTGCGTGTCATAATTGGTTTAAATTGAATTTTATCAAAAAATTGAAACACAACGCCAAAAAGTGGGACGGAATTGCGCGTTATAGCGCGCAATTCCGTTGCGTTAATTTGCGCGCAATTATTACGGAATTGCGCGCCATTAAATTCACTTGCGCGCAAGGGCTCGCAATTGCGCGCAAGTAAAATCCACTTGCGTTGGAAACCCTACTTTCACGTGAGGTCCCACAAAAAATTTGACGTTTATTTGAAAAAAAGACAAACAAACAAAGTATGTGTAGATTCTCTCATAACCTTTTTCCTATCTCTTTTTTCTTAATCATCTAATCTTTTTCTCTTTATATTCCATCAGATTTAATATCTTTTATTCCATCAGCTTTAATCTTTTCTCTTTATATTCCATCAGCTTTAATATATTTTCTCTTTATATTCCATCAGCTTTATTAAGTTCTGTTTTATTCCATCAGCTTTAATATCTTTTCTCTTTATATTCCATCAGCTTAAATATCTTTCTCTTTATATTCCATCAGCTTTAATATCTTTTCTCTTTATATTCCATCAG